TAGTAATTTGATTTGACTATACATTAAATCAGGCTGACAAAGTTTGTTTTTTGACGCCCTGTCTGGTAAAAAGGGTTTTGTCATGAACTAGTTTTAATGCTAATACTTTATTTAACGGCTCAGTAATTTCTAGGAAGTTAGCGGTAGCTTCCTAACGGTACTCGTGCTAGTAAGTTCGCTAGCATGCCAACTTGAAATAAAGCCTGGTTGAAATTAGGGATGAAACGGTATGAAATTTAATATCACGATATAGTGACCAAAATTATCACGGCTATCAGTGTTCTCACGGTATTGTAAAAATGTGCCAAAAAATATTAAAATGTATTGAAACACACACTGAAACCATTTCAGCAAGTTTTTATTGAAACTACAAACTACAGTTGCCATTTGTTTGCATAAAAATAAATAACAGCAAATACCTTTTGTAAACATATGAAAATCACAGTGTGCATTATCAAGATTTATATTTCATATTAGGTAATACAATGACCCCGTGGACAATTACATGAAAACAAATAAGTCTTCAGAAGACAGTGATAGTAACTGCAATGAGCCCCAAAACTGATGTAAATACAGAGGAGTCTGTAGCGTTTCTAGATCTGCTGGTTGGCTGACTGAACAGCGTAACGTGTTCTCATGTGCAGTGGACGAATAGACTCTGCCGACACACGATGCACACAGCAGCAGAACAATGTGTAGCGTTGAGAGAGCAACACAGAGAGCTTCAGTTTATTAGCAAGTCAGAGAGACAAACCAAAGCTAAAATGTTAACTCACCCTGCGTTCACTAAGGTCATTTTCTTCAATCAAGTTTCCCTCAGCGCTCTCATAAAACTAAAATACGACCGGACTTCAGAGTGACTGAAAAATCTCGGCAGCGCCGTCTTCCGCCGTTTGTCATTGACCCAAACAAACCCACATTGCACTCTGCGAATGCGCACCTGCTTCTGGGAGACGCTGTGATGGTGACCAGCTTCCTGAAGTCTTGTCATCACAGCTAAGTTGTCAGGTTTGGTACCATCGTGCCTGTACAGACACCAAAACCTCTGCTCACAGACCACATCAGCTAACCTGAGACACTGCAGGACTGAGCGGACAGATGAACAGTTGTCTGTCAAAAAATAGTAACTCCAGACTTTTAAACTTGATCTTCTCATCTCAGTCTCAGGAAGAAAGTGAAAATGTGCTAAAGAATAATACAACTTCATACGCAGCACGCTGTCATAAACATAGAGGCTACAGATGTTAGTGCATACTTTCTAACCCTCCGGATTTTCATCACCCTCTCCCGGTTTCCTCCTGGTGTCCCAATTCTCTCGGTTTATGACAAATGTTCACAAATTTGTGTCCTTTTCATTGCATCTATTACAGTTTCTGGCCCTGTACAGAGCATATAAGCCACACAACTCTCTCTGAGATAAAGTAGCATGCACGTGACGCAGAATTGAGAAGACGGTCGCTCCAGAGTGACTTCAGAGTCGCATGAACTCCAATCTTACTGTCATGACTGAGGTGGCAGACCTGCATCTGATTTAGACCACATACGAAAGGGCCCCAAATCCGAACTGGAGCCCGTGTGACTTGGTCAGTTCACACTGTTATAAAGTTCTGAACGTAGCCGTAGCTTCCGTCTGTTTCCAGTCTTATGCTAAACTAAGCTAACCAGCTGTTGGCTGTAGCTTATGTACCAAACAAATATGAGACTAAACTACTTCTGATTGGAGTAGCACTTCCGTTTTGAACTATACAAAAACAACTTTGACAGTGATGCTTATAAACTGCAGCAGTGAGAGCTTCCTTCCTTCCTCCATGTGGGCTGAAGAGGGTAAATCCTGCACACTAAATTAATTCTGGCTGAGTCATTTTAACTCAAAGGTCAAAGTCTTATTTTGCTGAATAAAAAAGATTGTACAGCATTGACTGAACATTTCAGAGTTTTGATGCTTTGTAATTAAATAAAAAATTAAGGAAAAGTGACATTCGAACCAGGATGGTTGAGTCCAGGTGGAGACTGTGAGTTAAACAGTGAGCAAACACTGTTGGATCTCACCTGCAGCAGGTGGAGTCTCTGCTATTTCAAGTTGGTTTCCTGAACAAACAACACATCCTGTTCGGAGTCTTTCCGTGACATTCACAGCTCAGAGACTCCTCTGGATCTTCACAGGACGAGGTAGGGGCGCTTAACGTACATGTTTTCAACCCCATGTTCAGTCAAAGTACATGTGAAGCTGTATTTTTAACCTGGAAAGTGATTAAATATTAATAATAATAGTTTCATTTGTACAAGGAAGGCAAGGCAAGTATTTGAATAGCACATTTCAACAATTAAAAGGGTTTTGCATAACATATGGTAATATAAAATACATTTAAATACAAGAGTTAAATAGAAAATAAAGCGAAGATAAACAGGACAGTAAAATACACTGCATTGAACCTATAAATTAAAAGTCTTAAATGTGATTTAATTAAAGGCAAACAGGAAAGTCTTCAGCCTTAATTTAAAAGAACTGAGAGTTTCAGCAGACCTGAGAGTTTGTTTTTAGATAAATGGAGCTTAAAAACTGAATGCCGTGTTTACTTTTGACTCTGGGGACAGAAAGCAGACCTGATCACACACGATCTGAGATCTGGATTGGTTCATGGTGTAGATGTATTTTGCCCTAAACCATTCATTCCAAATCCATTTTATAAACCAGCAGCAGTATTTTAAAAACAATTCTCTGACAGACAGGAAGCCAGTGTAAAGACCTCAGAGCTGAACTGACTCGAGCCGCAGCGTCCTGAATCAGCTGCTGCTGTCTGATCCATGTTTTAGGACCTGTAAAGACACAGTTACAGTAATCAATTAGACTGAAGATAAATTGGACAGGACAGGTTTTTCCAGGTCCTGTTGAGACATACACTGAACAAAATTATTAACGCAACACTTTTGTTTTTGCCCCCATTCATCATGAGCTGACCTCAAAAATCTAAGGGTGCTTTCACACCTGGATCGATTGGAGATGTTGTTGCGACACGTTTCCCCTTTTGCTCGGTTCGTTCGGTAATATGTGAACACGACAATCGCATTCTGAACCGGAACAAAACGACCGAGCCGAGATCGCCTAGAAGACGTTGCCTCGGCTCGATTCTATCCGAACCCTGGAGCAGTTTGTTTGCAGTGAGAACACAGCCGACCAATGAACCGGAACACATTAATTTGTTGCCTTGCAACCGACGCCAAAAGATCGTTTGTCAACACGGAGCTTCAGCAGCGTATTTTGTTAATTTGTTTTGATATTTTGTTGTGGTTGTATTAAGTACTGCTGTCGGAGTGCTTTTTTGCCTTTTTTGCGGCACTGCTCGACGGAACGTTCACAACCCCTCACTTTCATTTTATCACTAACCCTCTCGTAGACTTCGGTGTTCTTGTGTGTGGTGTGCAACATCCGGGAGATGTATTGTTCCGACCAAACATCTATTTCACCTCTTGTGTTACTGTTGTCATGGAGATGTCCCACAATGGAATACGCGACCTGCACTCATGAGGTAGTGACGTAATGGCGTAAGGAAAGCCCTGGAAGGGCGTGCGATTTGGACCGCTTTACAACATTGCGATGTGAACACAAGTGACGTATTTAAATTAATTCAGAACAAAGTATCTGTTCCGGAACAAAACAAAACGGTCTAGGTGTGAAAGCGCCTATTTCTCCCAAATGTTGTTCACAAATCTGTCAAAATCTGTGTTAGTGAGCACTTGTCCTTTGCCAAGATAATCCATCCACCTCACAGGTGTGGCATATCAAGATGCTGATCAGACAGCATGGGTGTTACACTGGTGTGCCTTAGGCTGGCCACAATAAAAGACCACTCGAAAATGTACAGTTTCAATGGACATTTTCGAGTAGGGGGGTCCGGAAACCAGTCTGTATCTGGTGTGACCACCATTTGCCTCGCGCAGTGCAACACATCTCCTTCACATAGAGTTGATCAGGTTGTTGATTGTGGCCTGTGGAGTGTTGGTCCACTCCTCTTCAATGGTTGTGCGAAGTTGCTGTCAGGTCGAGACCCCGATGAGGACGACGAGCATGCAGATGAGCTTCCCTGAGACGGTTCCTGACCGTTTGTGGAGAAAAAAACGATTGTTGCAGCAGCTGTCTGGGTGGCTGGTCTCAGACGATCTCGGAGGTGAAGATGCTGGATGTGGAGGTCCTGGGCTGGTGTGGTTACACGTGGTCTGCGGTTTTGAGGCCGGTTGGATGTACTGCCAAATTCTCTGAAACGCCTTTGGAGACAGCTTATGGTAGAGAAATGAACATTCAATTCAGCTGCAACAGCTCTGGTGGGACTTCCTGCAGTCAATATGCCAACTGTACGCTCCCTCAAAACTTGTGACATCTGTAGCATCGTGCTGTGTGATGGAACTGCACATTTTGGAGTGACCTTTTATTGTGGCCAGCCTAAGGCCTTTTTATTGTGGTCAGCCTAAGGCCTTTTATTCTGGCCAGCCTAAGGCCTTTTATTCTGGCCAGCCTAAGGCCTTTTATTCTGGCCAGCCTAAGGCACACCTGTGTAACACCGATGCTGTCTGATCAGCATCTTGATATGTCACACCTGTGAGGTGGATGGATTATCTCGGCAAAGGAGAAGTGCTCACTAACACAGATTGTGACAGATTTGTGAACAACATATGAGAGAAATAGGCCTTTTGTGTACATAGAGAAAGTCTTAGATCTTTGAGTTCAGCTCATGATGAGTGGGGGCAAAAACAAAAGTGTTGCATTTCTAATTTTGTTCAGTGTAAGTCCTTTAATCCTTGATATACATGCATATATATATGTGTATATATATATATATATAAATAAGCTTACCTAATTTCTTGCATTATCCGAAGGGTTTTAAAGGAGTATTTTAGGGGTATTTAGAGAATCAAGTAGTAGTGATAGTATGTAGTTCATGCGTAGTAAAGCCCTGCTCCTTAAAGAGCACAGCGGTTTGTTAAATCTTACTTTTATAATTCTTGACAGAAGTGTCTGTGAATAGCTTTAGACGACAGTTGTTAACAGCTCAATCAGCCGCCACTCGCCCACCCAGAAGACAGCTTCCTGCCCTGTGGGTAACCATGGCGATCGCTCAGGTAGCGACAGTGACCTGCACTTTGGAGAGGAGGGTCCGATCACGCCACCGCTCATCCATTCAGCTGTTGCTATCCAGTTATGGTTTTATTGTGCTGTGAGCGGAGCGACCCTCCACCAAGCTCACAGGAGAGAGAGAGAAGAGAGTGAGAGCGAGCGAGCATAAGCTGGACCTGCGAGCTCGTGACTCCTCAGTCAGCTGCTGAGACAGAACAACCCTCTAAGACCCTGTACAGGAGGTGGTCTCAGAGTGAGGACCAGAGCAACCCTCTAAGACCCTGTACAGGAGGTGGTCTCAGAGTGAGGACCAGAGCAACCCTCTAAGACCCTGTACAGGAGGGGGTCTCAGAGTGAGGACCAGAACAACCCTCTAAGACCCTGTACAGGAGGTGGTCTCAGAGTGAGGACCAGAACAACCCTCTAACAACCTGTACAGGAGGGGGTCTCAGAGAGTGGACCAGAACAACCCTCTAAGACCCTGTACAGGAGGGGGTCTCAGAGTGAGGACCAGAACAACCCTCTAAGACCCTGTACAGGAGGGGGTCTCAGAGTGAGGACCAGAACGACCCTCTAACACCCTGTACAGGAGGTGGTCTCAGAGTGTGGACCAGAACAACCCTCTAAGACCCTGTACAGGAGGGGGTCTCAGAGTGAGGACCAGAACAACCCTCTAACACCCTGTACAGGAGGTGGTCTCAGAGTGTGGACCAGAACAACCCTCTAAGACCCTGTACAGGAGGGGGTCTCAGAGTGAGGACCAGAACAACCCTCTAACACCCTGTACAGGAGGTGGTCTCAGAGTGTGGACCAGAACAACCCTCTAACACCCTGTACAGGAGGGGTCTCAGAGTGTGGACCAGAACAACCCTCTAAGACCCTGTACAGGAGGGGGTCTCAGAGTGAGGACCAGAACAACCCTCTAACACCCTGTACAGGAGGTGGTCTCAGAGTGTGGACCAGAACAACCCTCTAAGACCCTGTACAGGAGGTGGTCTCAGAGTGAGGACTAGAACAACCCTCTAACAACCTGTACAGGAGGTGGTCTCAGAGAGTGGACCAGAACAACCCTCTAACACCCTGTACAGGAGGTGGTCTCAGAGTGTGGACCAGAACAACCCTCTAAGACCCTGTACAGGAGGTGGTCTCAGAGTGAGGACCAGAACAACCCTCTAACAACCTGTACAGGAGGTGGTCTCAGAGTGTGGACCAGAACAACCCTCTAAGACCCTGTACAGGAGGTGGTCTCAGAGTGAGGACCAGAACAACCCTCTAACACCCTGTACAGGAGGTGGTCTCAGAGAGTGGACCAGAACAACCCTCTAAGACCCTGTACAGGAGGTGGTCTCAAAGTGAGGACCAGAACAACCCTCTAAGACCCTGTACAGGAGGTGGTCTCAGAGTGAGGACCAGAACAACCCTCTAACAACCTGTACAGGAGGGGGTCTCAAAGTGAGGACCAGAACAACCCTCTAACAACCTGTACAGGAGGTGGTCTCAAAGTGAGGACCAGAACAACCCTCTAAGACCCTGTACAGGAGGTGGTCTCAGAGTGAGGACCAGAACAACCCTCTAACAACCTGTACAGGAGGGGGTCTCAAAGTGAGGACCAGAACAACCCTATAAGACCCTGTACAGGAGATGGTCTTGGTCCAATCACAAATTCAATCTCGAGGTTAACTGTTATCAGTTCTAAAGGGCCAAAAGTGTTTTTATGCTTACTTTCAATCTAGATCTCCTTTCCTCCTTGTTTCCTCCTTTCCTTTATCCTTGTTTCCACATCTCCTTCCCTTTTTCTCATCTCCTCTCCTTTCTTCCTTGTTTCCTTGTTTCCTTTTATCCTTGTTTCCACATCTCCTTCCCTTCCTCTCCTCTCCTCTCCATTCCTCCTTGTTTCCGCCTCTCATCCCCTTTTTTCCCTCTCCTCTCCTTTCTTCCTTGTTTCCTCATCTCCTTCCCTTCCTCTCCTCTCCTTTCTTCCTTGTTTCCTCATATCCTTCCATTTCTTCCTCTCCTGTCCTCTCTTCCTTGTTTCCTCCTCTCCTCTCCTTTCTCCCCCTTGTCTTCCTTGTTTCCTCCTCTCCTTCCCTTTCTTCCTATCCTCTCTTTTCTTCCTTGTTTCCTCCTTCCCTTCCTCTCCTGTCCTCTCTTCCTTGTTTCCTCCTCTCCTTCCCTTTCTTCCTATCCTCTCTTTTCTTCCTTGTTTCCTCCTTCCCTTCCTCTCCTCTCCTCTTTTCTTTTCTTACTCTCCCAGCTTTTCCTCTTTGTCACTTCCTCGTCTCCCTATGTTTCTCCTCCCTCCAGTGAATAGCTACGGTGACGATGAAGATGATGCCAGCAGCTCCTCTGACAGTGAAGACGAGGTCCTGAAGCAGTTTGAGATCTCAGTGTCGCGTTCGCAGAGTTTTCGTACCCCGGCAGCTGACGCCGGCGAGCAGACTCAGCTGGCTTTGAGCCGACGCCATAAATTCAACCGACTGTCGGACCAGGAGGAGGGCAGCACAGAGCCGTCGGACTGTGAAGGTGTGGTGTTTGTCTTTCTTAAAGGACAGTTTCTGTATTTTTAAACATGGGCACTATTTTCACATATTATAGTGTTGAAATGACTCGTAGGTCCAGAGAGTTTTGGAATCCGTGCAGTGAACCGGCTGCAGTGGCTGCAACCTATTCCTTTTGTCAAAATGGCGTCCCCAGAAAGTGCTTCTTTTTGCCAGCGACAGGCTCAGACTCTTACACCAGGTGACAACATCACGGAAAGGATCCCTACGAGTGACTCCTGGTGACGCCCTTTGTTTTTAAAAGGAAACTGAGCTCAAGGACAGTCCTCGCTCTGAAATCTTGTGACAGTTGTTGCAAGAAGACGACGGTGGAAACACGAGTCAGAGTTTGAGAGAGGAGTTTGTTGTGTTGGAGAAACGTAAGGAAATAGGTCAACAACTCGCCTCTCATGAGGAATCAGAGCGAGAGCTGTCCTTGGGCGAGAAAGAAGCAATTTTTGGCCCGAAGGAATACGTTCCAGCCACTGCAGCCGGTTGAGCTGCCAGCTGAAGCATCTACTGCACGAACTCTTTGGACCAACGAGTCATTTCAACACCAAAATATACGAAAACAGGGCCGTAATTATCCTTTAAAACACTGTACGTTTTACAAATTTGTGGCACCATTTTCTACTTCTATTCCACTAAATTTCTGAGATAAATATTGGGCTTTTAACTTTATAACATTGATCAGATGTTTTTACACAAAACATACAAATAGCTTATAAAATATGATGTTTTGTTATAAATGAACCTCTTACAATTCCTGTAAAATTCACCTACAACGCCTATCCAAGGCATACCAAAAATAAATTGAATGCAGTTCTTGAACGATTTGGAATAAATGCATGCACGAGTACTCACTGTAGGTGCTACTGGAATTGATTAAACTATCCAGCAGTTTACACAAGTACAGCTGAAAGGTTTAGATGATTAATAGATTAATTGCCAACTATTTCATTGGTCATTAAGGGGTGAACCTGCGCAAGACACTTGACCCCTAGTTGACCTCGCAAGTTGCTTTGTAATTCAATTCAATCTAGCTTTACTGGCATGAATGTAAAACAACAATATTGCCAAAGCTACAAATACATTACAAAAGAACAATTAATTTTATACAGTTAATTAATCACTATAAAAAAAATAATAAATAAAACAATATATAATAATAATAACATATTTATTCAAAATAAAGTAAATAAAACAGTAAAAGTGTGTGATGTGTATATTAATAGACAAAAAAAATCTCTGTCAAATGTGAGATTAAAAAACAATAATAATTTGAATATTTGAGTCTATTCTGAGTTTCCACTTGTTGTCCTCAGTTCGTGGCATGAAGCATTCCTCCCAGTAAATATGGGAGTTTCTATTAAAGGTTTGTGGAAAACTGGGAGTTTTGTATAAAAGGCAGCTGCGGCTCAGGCAGTCGAGCGGGTTGCCCGTTAATCAGAAGATCAGTGGTTCAATCCCTGAGTTTCAGCCGGGTGTAAAAAATAAAGCAGCAGCAAAGATCCTTGAACTTATAAAGATGCTTGTGGCTAATCTATCAGCAAAGAATTTACTGATGTTAATTTCATATTGAGCAGAAAAAGTGCATCACAACCACTTTCGACCTGGTGAATCTCAGACTGACTGAGATCTGATCGAACTTGTGTGCAGTAAGAAACTGAATTAGACTTTATGTGAGCGGCGTCAGGGAGAGCAGATCGCATCAGTTTACCTCCGTCAAGCTAGATCCACTGCTAATCCATCGCAGCGTCAATGAGCCAAAGGGCCCCAAATAATGTTTTTACTGCAGATTAGAGGCTGTAAAGAGCTCAGGGAGGCTCAGTGTGATTGGACCGCTGTGGCTGGATGAGTGTGGAGAGACGACGGCATTAATTAGGTTTGTAGTCAGTTGGTTTCTGGTGTTTTAAGAATGATCTGGGGGGGTGAGAAGGCATATGAAACCAGGAGATTTTTATTTCTTCTTCACTGTTAAATCAGGTAACGTCTTTTTGTCAGAAGATCTTATTTGTGAAGTTTGTAAACTAATTTATTAGGCTGAAGAAAATGTATAAAGAACCGGGGATACAGAAGACGTGATCACACTTGACACATGACACGTTATAGGGTTGTATTTCATCTAGTATCTCATCTGTATTTCATCTAGTTCCTAAAATGTTCTTCCTAAAAATTGTGATTAATGTTAATCCCAGCATCCAGCAAAACATAATCTGGATTACCGTCTGAGTCTGAGTCATGCAGCACTCTCCTCTATGGTGGTGGTATTTTCCCACCAAACCAGTCAGAGCAGATTGTGCTGCTTCACACACTCTTACATGTTAAAACATGAATACATTAAAAGAGCAACACATTAACACAAACCTATACAGAAAACTAAGTCGCACAGCCCTCTCCTCCGCATTCAAAGCTGTTTGACTTCTGATCAAGTATACTGGGGCCTTTAAGGCCAATTTATACTTATGCGTCAAGTCCACGCCATAGCTGAAATCTTATGCTACGTGCTACGGCTGAACGATTTTTCTGCCAGATGTTAGGATTACGATTCGATTCGTGATATTTTAAAATCAAGGACAAATGAGCAAAATCTGACAGGCAAAAGGCTCTTATTCTGAAATGCTCCATATGGATATGTAATGTTAGCCTGCAGAGAGCAGAGCGGGCTCACAGAAGTTCATAGTTGAAGCACACAGAATGACAAATTAACAACATGTCAACAACATGTAGGCTAAACGCTCCGCTGCTGAAACACTCCAGTGTGAGCTGACGCCGGACAAAACTGACTGTGTCGGTTATCCTCTAGTTTTGTTTGTTGATGTAAAATGTACACGCCCTGTGCCCACTCTGATTGGTGAGTATGGCGTGGTGATGGCGCAATGGATAAGATGTGTGAGACATCCACGTATGTGTCCCTGAGCAAGGCACTTAACCCCTTGTTGCTCCAGAGGCGTGCGACCTCTGACGTGTACAGCAATTGTAAGTCGCTTTGGATAAAAGCGTCAGCTAAATGAATAAATGTAAATGAGTAGGACTGTAACAGGAGGCGCGATTGGCGAGCAGATCTGTCACACAAGGATGACAACAGCATGAATCTGTAACTGGATGACTGTTTAAAACGCGTCAGATGCCCTGTGTAAGTAACCTATATTTTAATTGCCGTCTTTGCGATTAGCTAATCGCGTTCTTTCAAATTACAATTTCGATTTGAAAACGATCGTTCAGCCCTACTACGTGCTGTCATGAGCATTTTTACTTCACTACACTCTGCAATTACAACGCCAAAACGGCAGTTGGCTGTGGGGTTTCTATGTTCTGCTGTGTTGAGTTTCTTCTTATTTGTTGGAGTAGGCTACTACAGACAACGGCGGTTTCACATAAAAACGTTACTTTACTGTTTTACCACGAACTGCAACTTTTTTAACAGGCAAAATTATCTTTTAAATTGACAAACGTCATGTGTGTAATTCTGGGCCGATTCAAACAGGATCAAAACATTAGTTGTCTCTCGCCGTTGACTAGCTTACATATTTTTTTCCGAAATAAGGTCCCATGGGGCGAAAGAAGGAGGGAGGGACTTGAGCTCATTAATGAACTCAAATGACGCTGTGTGGTGAACAGTTAAATATGATTTCTTGTGACAAGAGCTTGGCCTCAGAGCTAGTTGCAATGCAGCTAACTTGCTAAGCAAATAGCATCACTGAAATATTTCGCCACAGCGAGCAAAAAAACGGATGTTAAGACAAAGTTAAACGGGTAGTCCTAACGACCATAACAACGTTACAACATCCTGGCAAACGACCCCACTGAGGTTAAATAGCTGAGTTTCCCTACCAGTCAGTCAGAACTGAAGAAGTCCTTTGGTTGAGGGACGAAACGTCTTCTAGTATCTTCAACCAAGTCCAGTTGCCCTTCATTTTAACCTTCTTTGGATAACTACGACCTGGATGACTGAGAATCTTCACAGACAAATGTTAAGACAAAGTTAAACGTTCCTGCCTTCTTTTTAAAAGAGCAGCTGGTTGTTGGCGTTGTTTGGTCGGGGGTCACTCTGACTCTGTTTTCTGTCTTTAACCAACATGTGAGCGTTGCAGTGACATAAGCCACAAATGAAACGATAACACACACACAGGCTGATGACTCACCTTGGACTGTTTCCATGGTCACTCTATGCAGCCACTGATGTAAGAGTCAGGCCGACCTTAATGATGGCGAAGTGGAGATAATTGCTATTGATTGGTCTGAGGTACGGCCTGTTCTCGGAGTGTTTCTGTCGAAGGAAAAGGCCAAAGTTTGACAGATTACACAATATCACCTCTGTTAACACACAGCGCTCCCAAGCAAGGTTTAGGTGGCTCCTTTTAGACCTCCTGGACTCAATCAGGAAATATGCCAGAGAGACAATCGCGTTTCTGCTGTCAAGGGATACGTTTGTCATCTTCTCAAGATTAAATAAAGTTAAAGGAAACAAGGAAGAACCTCTGGGTCAGAAGTGAATCCAATGCGGACCTACAGTCTTTCTAATGACCAGCAGGGGGCGACTCCTCTGGCCGCAAAAAGAAGTGTGATTTTATAGAAGTCTTAGAAAAAATGAAGCTACTTCTCAGATGATTTAGTACCTCAGCAAACATTTTCCTAATGAGTTTATGGTCTCAATTGTTAGTTTGAAGTCTTCTTCAACACAGCATGATGTTCATTTAGTAAATTATGGACCCATTTAGAAGAAAATAGACCAGAAAGCAGGGGATGTCAGTCAGGAAAGAGGCGACTGGTATTCACTGCACTGTATAAAAGATTATTAAGAGTACATTTTTCCAAACAACCAACATAACGATGGCCAAAATGGCAAACTTGAAGCTTCAAAAAGGCAGTCCCCAAACCAACGAGTGATGTCACGGTGGCTATGGCCACTTGTTTCTTACAGTCTGTGGTCTGAACACATCTCTCCGTCCAGAGATTTAAAAGCCCATGTGAGTTTGTATCTTGTCAAATTCAGCCAACACAATATTTAGTCAACCTTTTATATGTTGTGTCAAAATCATTTAAGAAGTAATCAAGGTAGCTGAGGCTGCTCGACATACACGGTCCCAACGCACACCTTCCTCACATTGATTGATTCAGGTAAAACTAAACTACTGTCCTCACACCCACAGATTTAAATCTGACTACCAGAGGGCCTGATGCTGACTTTCCTACACTGTTAACTTCCTCCTGCAGAAATGGAGGCTCAGAACCGGCAAGGTTTCCAGGACCCGCTCTCTGCAGCGGTAGAAGAGAGCGAGAGGGCGTCTGCTGCGCTCGCTGTGGGCAAACCTGATGGACTTGAGGGGTCATTGGGCGCCAGGGACAGCCCCACCCCCAGCACGCACCGCCTGGCCGCAGACGGCAGCGAGGACGCCGAAAATGCCGTAGGTGTCGACAAAAATGACGCCACAGACAGCTCCTCCACCTGGAGCCCCGAGGTACTGCAACCTGACATTTAAACGAGACCTTTTCCATATTTTGGCTTATCTGCAATGTTCAAAAGTTGGATGTTCATGTTAAACATGGCCGAACCTTCAAATAATGAGGTTAAAGTGTTTAAAAAGAAATGCCGGTTAGCAAAAACCTCAGATTTCCTCTCCTGTTTTTTCTACCAATAGCTCTGTAATACAGGCAGAGCTGGTGCTACATATATGGTCATCTGCTCCGCCCAGCAACACTCTGTTTTACTTTACCGTCCAGCAACAACAACAGCCTGGTAACATGCTTCAGGTCTTGGCCAATCAGAAGACACTGGGCTTTGAGGGGGGCGTAAAAAAGTAAAAAAAGTCTGCACACTTTTAGGCTGCAAATAATTCTGTGTTAATTCTCTGTATTTTAAGGCAGCATTTCAATCTACAAGATTTAAATGCGCAGACTTTTCTCAAATTATAAAGTATGTGTTATTTTGGTCATCACTGTGGAGATGGTGACCCATACAGTCTATGAGGGTGACCCCACTCAACCACACAGAGGAGCAACAGGGAAAACCTTGACTTTATTAGGTACACCTATACAATCAAATGTAATAAATACACCAGATCAGCCATGAAAAGCCAGGATTTATTTACACAGACATACATAGAAGTGTTCATTCACGTACATGTTTTATCACTGAGGTCATAATTGGTGCTGTTGGTTTTGTACTGAGCTGCATTATATTTAGAAGAGTTTCTGATATTCTGGCCCAGTAATGTACATTATGTAAATAGGGAGGACAAAAAAATCCTCATATCCAACACAATGTAGTTCATTAAAACACCCTTTAATTTTAACCTCATTTAATAAAATTTATGCTCATATGTGTAAATTTAATTAAATAATGGCACAGCTGTAGTATTGAACTGCATTACATTGTAAAGGTGCACCTATTAAGGCCACTGAGAGCATTCAACACAGTAACACCAGCAGCTGAAAGGATGTGTAAACTCCTCCGTAGCTCAAATTATTTTTCATGTCACTATATTCATATTTGCATCAACGTGGAAGAAAGTTTGTCCTGGTGATTGTTGGCTGGACATGGTATTTGCACTCCACTAACTTACTCTTAAATATACAAGTTTGGCACGTTTCTATGAGGCCTATAAGCAGATACAGCTGCCAGTTTATTGGGCACACTGAGCTAAAACTTATGCAGTCCTGCAATAATCCTACCACCTTCATGAAGGTTGAAATATTCAGTCACTGATTCAACACGGAGAGCTGTTTCTGACAGGGACGTACCTCGTTGATATTTGGATCCTTTGTGGATAACTGGCTTGCTCGCTCATTAAAGTCAGTCTCCGATGGTTTCATGTGTCAGCCTCTTCAACAGAAAAACATATGAAGTCGTTATCTGTCTGCTGCAGTTATAACGTTACTTACTTTTTGTGCTGGTGATCTTGTCAGCCGATGCACTGTCCAACAAACAATGTGTGTAACGTTAATGACTGAATTAACGTTAACCAAGGAACAACCTTGCTGGATACAAGCTTGCCATGTTACCTATTTCACATAGATAACGTTACCCTTCATAGTAACGTTACTTCTACGGCAGCCACTGCGCTCGAGCAGGATTCCACTGTGCAAGCGGAGTTATCCTGTGAGAGCTTGCCAGGCGCTCGCTCGCAGGTGCCTGTACAACTCTCGGTTGTTGAATTTGTGCGCGAGTACTTTATCGTGCGCGCGAGAAGATTCTTTTTTGTGCGTGTGGAGTAACGCTCACAACTTATGACCAAAAATAAACGCCATAGATAATACTTTCTCATATAAAATTGTCCGCAGACAAACCACAAAAACTGGCAACAGACTAGTTCTTTGTGGGTCTGCACAAGTGTACGTGACCTTAAAAAGACCACTTGATTATCTTACATTAACCCGAAGATGGAGCACTCATAAACGACCTGTGGCGTCCCTGTCGGGTCAGCGATCTAAGGAGCACATCATGTCGTTGCAATGTTCCGGATTCTGGCAAAAACTGTTTAATTAAAAAACTGGGCGCAGTTTATTTGAAGTGGTCACAATAACCCTTGCAGTCTTGTGGCTGCAGGATTTATTTGAGTTTAAGGTGCTGAAAACACTACAGCAAGAAATCTCTCCTGACCAGGCTGACTAATACCAGAAAACCATTCACCATCAAAATGACCACGTTCAGACATGGGAAGTGCACAGAAGGAAAATGGCGGTTGTTTATATGTAATAAATTTACTGCTGTTATGGCTGGTATTGGGCGGACCCAGGTGCAAACAAAGAGCACAAGATTAAAAAGTTAACAGGCTTTATTAATAAAATGTGCAATGGTGGTGAAGGCAGGTTAGGCTTGGTGCGAGCAGGTGGGTTGGAGCTGACGAGGTCCAAAGCGGTATGGTAGCACAATGAAGGTTACTCACAAGACTAGCAAAAGGCGATGCTAGAAACACCGGAGGCTACAAGCTAGAGCTGGCCTCAAGTGCTCAACCATGAAGTGGTGAGAAACAATCTGGCACCAATCACAGGAAGCCTGGGGTGTTTGTGCCATAGGTTGATAAGAGGATTGAAACCCGGCGTGCAGCTCAACAAGGTGTGTTGATTTCTGTCACGCCCAAAACACACACACAGACACACAGACAGGCAAAAGGGAAGCGAAACATGTGAAAACAACATGAAAACCCCAGAGCCAGGGCACTGACTGTGACAACTCTCTAGTGAAGCTTTTAAAGGTTTTGTAGACAGTGTTGGGGAATTTACTAAGGAATTGTAATAAGTTATATTTTACTTTACTTACCTTAAAAAAGTAATACTATATAGTAATACTACTCGGTATTAAAAGTAAGTACCGTAAAACTTTGAATAATAGCCTGGACTTTTATTGACCCTGGATTTATTTGAGACAGGCCTTTAATTCTTTTAGCACAAAACTTAAACTACTGTCAAACAGTTTATTTATTTCAAACAGGATAATACTTGTGAAAAATGATCAAATAATATCAAATACACGTCATTCATTTGATCTAGCTCCGACAGACGGCTTATGCGCTTTTATTTTGAAGGCAGCAACCTAACGAAAACAACAACACGGTGGAGGATGAGAGAAGTTAGCAGACAGAGAGCGATGAACTTCACATGACATATAATAATATATATAATATTGATCGCTTGTCTTTTTTTTGTTTATCTGCTTCTGCTGAAGCCTCCCTCCGCTGCTTGTTTGGGTGGCTGATTTGCAGGCTGATCAACATCCCGCCCCTCCTGTGACCCAGGGTTTGACTGCATGTGTATTCAGAGCCGTTGAGCAAGGGACTTTCAAAACAATGATGATAATAAAAACTGTGTTAGCGTGCGATAAAATAATTGTCGGCGTTGCTTTTTCTGTGAGGCAAAAAACGTGTCCAGCAGCGTCCATTTCAGACACACTTGTTTCGACTTTCCTGTCACTATTTTTTAGAGATGTAGCGAGCTGGCGATGTTAGAAAGATGACGTTTCTGTTCTTAATCTCGGCTACAAAGCTCTGATTGTTTGACAGCTGTCGGTGGCAGCTACACCAGGTCTGGTGGAGGCGTCGATTCAGAGGTCTGCAAAGCACAAGCAAACACCTGTCATCAGATTCTGATTCTTACATTGTTAAATTCTGATTGGTAATATCAGCGTTTTCCAACAATTGCTCGCCCACTTCATCCCAGTGAGGAGAAAACACACACAGTAATCTGTCATCAGCAAAAACCAGTGTTCAAACTTTGGCAGGAAATTGTGTCTTCATGATGGACCTCATCGCTTATATCAGTATAACCAGAAAGGAAGCTGATGTTTTTACTTAAAGGAGCTGTATGCGACATTCACTGCCATGTCCCACCAGACTCCATTGAGAAAATAGTTTTACCATCATAAAACACACTTCCTTTAAACAGGACAGGGACTAAAATTAACTCACTCACTGTTCCAACAATCAAGACCGTATTTTGGTGAAAATGTACCCTTAATTCACCGAAATATTCGCCTCAGACGGCAGCCACGGAGCTGCCCCTGTCAAAGTATGTCCACAAGTGCTTGTTTCTGAGAGTGTCTGAGAGCATTGCTGAAAGGATCCCTAGAGAGATGTTTTAGGGCCTTTTCAGAAGTCATTAGCAGCGATTTTATATCTATGTTTTCTATATATGTGCACACATTACCACAACCTGAGACCTCAAAAATTTTATGACAATATATCGAGAAAACTTCCACATTTCTCACTTCTCAATAATCACTAAAAAAACAAGGGAGGGATTACTTAACGGGGTCCGTGAGCTGGCCGCATCCCTGCTGTTACCCATCATGCTTGGCAGAGGTATCATCATCATTCAGCTGTGAGAGGTTTGTCACTCTGGCAGGTTATTCCTCTCAGGTTGGAAGAAACAAACCAAACACGGCCCACTGAGGCCTCGAGGTTTCGTATAAATAGTTGATATTTCCTGTGCTCTCCGCGCTGCGTTGGCTAACAAACAGAAGCTCATGAATAATAATCTGTGTGTGTGTGTGTGTGTGTGTGTAAACAAAGTATGTATAAATACGTGCATGCATCTACTTAACATGTCTTTCTGTGTGGATTGTGTTTGTATTTGTGAAAGCAGGAGAGAGGAGATGTAGAATCTAACAACCTCTCAGTCACCGAATCACACTTTGAAATTGGGAGCATCTGTGCAGCAAACACCTCCCACACACACACACACACACACACACACACATCCACAGAGACACAGGGTGATACTGACATCTAGAAATGCTTCATAAATAACAGATGAGTGGAGCTACAGAAAATCAGGGAGATCTATGTTGTAGAAGTTTATTGATACAGTTATATAACAGCCCTGCCATTGATAATGCTAAAGCTAGTACTGCTACTGCTAATAATAATAATACTATCTCAAAAATTAATAATAATAAATCATTTCTTAACAATTGATTTACATGTTGCGACAGTTTTGTTTGCACAGTTTAAATTATTATTTTTATTCGGGGTGCCTCTCTCCTGGCAGTAAGATATAAGTTACTGGTTGTTTGAAAGTTATTTAAGTCAAACGTCACAAAGGATGTACATCCTCACACTGAATGACCATGAAAGAAAAGAACACCACTCTAACTCTAAAGCTTAGAGCAAAACAAAATATTCAACTCAAAATTCCACTTCGGGTTTTCTGCACACTTTAATTTCGTTTCATTTCATTTATTTGTTTATTTGACAGGGTCAGTGCTCATTACTTAACAGTAAAATAACTGTAAATGAGCCAGAGTTAGCTCAACAGGCTAATTTTCATCTGTTGTCCCCAGGGCAACCTAAAATAAAGATTTTAAATGATTTCAAAATCACAAATTAGTTGCGGTTCACTTCATAAAACACAAAAATAAATTCAGTCCAGTGCTGATAGCACTGTGATTTACCAATCACAACCTGGACGGGGCGGGACATTACAAAAAGACTACAGTAAACTTTTGAAATGCTGAATTCGTTCTGCATGAACGGTTATGATTATTGACAAGTTAGCACCATGTAGACATTTTTCTTGCACAAGTATTTAATGAATGAGAACAACATGCCATAATGAAACAGCTGTAACTGGAATTAATATTATCCCAGTGGTAAGCTATATAGGATGAAAAGAGTGTAGCCTAATAAATACACTAATATTAGCCGTAATCAAACCCTAACAAAACAGAAAACGGTGTTAAAGCATTAATTGAATTTGTGAATGAGATGAATGGAGCCAATCCCAGCTGATATCGAGCGAAAGGCACAACATTAAACATTCATTGTAAAGTTATTCAACATTAATGCATCAATAATTATAATTCTAAAACAGGCCGCTCTGCATGAAAAGTACTTTTACTTTCTGTACTTTAGATATATTTTGACATTTACTTTAGTAGATGCATTACTTAGAGGAAGCAGTAAACATTCGGCGTGTAATGAGGTGAGCGTCTGCCTCTGTGTTTTCTTTCTCATGTGCTGACCTCCTGACCCGCACGTACAAGAGACTCGAGCAGCAGCTCCGTCATTATCTTATCTCCTCTGTGGTTGCCATGTCTACGCCGACACTCAGCCCCGCTCTGTCAACACTCGACACAATCGATGTTCTGTTTGCCGACTGTAGGGGAGGCTGAGATTGGCTGCACTGAGAAGAGGAGGAGGAGGAGGAGGAGGTGGTTTATTTGTCCTTTTATGACAGGATTTCTGCTTCATTTTCTGTCTGAACATTCGGAAAAAGCTCTGGAGAATCATTCAGTGATTGTGAGTCTTTATATTTGTCAGCAGTGGTACTCGTACTTCACCTTCAGAGGGGAATATTATACTTTTATTCTGCTATATTTATTTTACAGTTTCACTTACTAGTTACTTTGCAGATTCAGGTTCATCAATCCAAAATATAATTTTAAAACTACCTTTACCAGCTGCAACATTAAAGTGATGTACATTAATGCATAAACCATTATAATCCAAAAATTTATATGATACTACATGAGCCTGCATGTTAGTGCATCCTCTGTGTGAGCAGGCCGATTTAACGGCTGTTTCTTTTCTCATCTAGCTCAGTGAAGTCGGTGATTGTTGGAACACTGGAAAGGCTAACTAAGATGGATTTTTGTTTCTCTCCAGTCTGTATTTATCGATGACCCGCTAGGTAAAATTATTGTTGTTTTTTTTTCAATGCAATCTGGTGGCGAGCAAGAGCGATGCAACAGCTGTATCTGGTTAAACAAAAAGGATCTATTTAACAAAAATGTCTCTCTCTGTAGGGATCCTTTCCGTAATGTTCTCAGACACAGAATATCAATCTGAGACTGTTAGTGGCAAAAACAAGCACTTTTAGTGGACGTACTTTGACGAGCGCATTTTTCGCCAGCAGCCACTAAAGCTCGTTTCGTGGCTGCTGTTCGAGGCGTAGAGCCAGAATATTTCTGTGAATTAAGGGTTTATTTTGACCAAACCAGAGTCTGTGATTGTTGGAACAGTGGAAAGACTTTTATTTTGTTTCTGTCCAGTTTGAAGGAAGTGTGTGTGTGTGTCTAAGGTTACAAATGACTTTTTCTGATTGGAGTCCGGTGGACCGTAGCGCCCAATTGTTATGGTCTCAGATGCTGGTGCTCTAATGCGACATTTAGGCGCAGTGAATGTCACATACAGCTCCTTTAAGTAAAACCTTTAATGCAACAGGGTAGTACTACACTGTGGTATTGCTACTTTCACTAAAGTACAAATTATGAATACTTCTTCAACCACTGCTCTTTGACAAATTATTATTTGTATTTCACTCCAAACAACCTACTTTGTCTAGTATTGATACACTTTTGTCACCTGATAGATTGCGGGTTGAGTAAAGGAATTAGGAGAGTGGATCTGATAACCGTCACGCTTTGGGAATCCAATGTCCAAACAATTCTTTGTTTGCCCTTGTTCTTAAGTTATAAATAGACTGCAGCAGCAAGGCCAGAGACTGAGATCGTCATCTTGAATCATCAGGTAGATTAAGAAATAAGAATTATTAACCATAACCACTAACCCTTTTAGTTACACATTAAACAGTACATGTAGTTGAAGGAAGAAGTTTGTGGTTTTGTGGGTTTTTAAGTGTACAGCATTCGGGTTTGTCTTTGGACTTGTTTGTTTTACTTAAAGAAATGAGCTGATTCCCTTTCTGGTGGAGAGTTACGCTGGATTTATAGCTGATGCAAAGGGTTAACACGAGTCCCGCCCTAATAGGTTTGGATTTTATCTGTTTTTATGTGTTTTATTTTCCCACAATCAGGCTGCGTCGACCTTTAGTTACTATATATTTATATATATAGAAAGTGAGTTAAGGTTATTTCATGTTAATGTCTAAATTAGTGCCAGGCAACGATTAAAATTTTTAAATTGCGATTAATCGCAGTGTTACGCGTAAAATTGACTAATGAATTCTAAAGTAGTGTATTGTGCACTTTTAATTTAAATGTACTGCTATATACACAAAAGTGTAATAACGTGGTTTGCAAACACTTGAAACAAATAAGGTGCTTTTTACCAGCAGTATTCCCTTTACACAGTAGCAATAAAATATTTCTTGTAAATCTCAACTTAAACATTAATGTAATCAAATCAAGCATTAAACCAAAGCTATTTGCCACTGCCAGGGCGTGACCTTTTATCTAGCTTGTTAAAACAAGTTACCATCAGAGTCCAGTTTTCTTGTTTGTTTGTTTTCTGAACAGGTATCAGCATCAGGTATCTTTTTTAGGGAGCAGCAGAAACAGTCTGTTCAGTAGGGTTGGGACGATGTGTACAAAACTACATTGAAACATCGGGATGGACGACGGCATGGGGGGCTGCTTGTTTGGGTGGCTGATTTGCAGGCTGATTAACATCCCTCCCCTCCTGTGACCCACGGTTTGACCGGATGTGTATTCAGAGCTGGTGAGCAAGGGACTTTCAAACTAATAATAATAAAATAAAAACTGCGTTAACGTGCGATAAAATAATTGTCGCGTTAACGTGCCCAGCCCTAGTCTAAATGTCTTTGCTGGATGTGTGTTACTGAAAAGGAGAAGACTACTGAGAGTCTTCGTGTTGTCTTCACTATCAACAAGCTCCAGCGGCATCTGAAACTTGTAGGAGAAGACTCAACTGACCAATCACATGCAGTCCCCCTACACGGTCACTTTGACGCCACCATAGCCCTGAGCTTTAAAAAAACTGGGTGAACCATCATCAGGTCAACTGTTTTAATTTGTCCAAAACAATCCCGGCAACACCAGTGACATTCCCGTAAACCTCCGTTGTACTTCGTGTTTACTGCTAATTAGCAAATGTTATGTGAAAACTGCCAACGTTGAACTAGCCTTTCTGCAAAGCGGTCGCCCATAGTCTCTTAGCCACTTGCTATATTTACAAGTTATTTACAGCTATGAACATACCAGCTGAATGTAATATATGTATGTTACAAATTTGGTAGCTTCACTGTAGATTATTTTATATCTGTTGATGTATGACGTGTTTGAATAGCATTCAGTTATTGGTGCTATCTTTCTGTATCATTTCAGTTTTACAAAATTCATTCATGAGAATGACGACAACAATAAAGAGCATTGAACTTTACGCCAGCCTCTGACTTTCTCTTGAATCCTGTCTGTGGATTTGTGTACAGTCTCACGCACTGAGGACAGAATAGTTACCTTGCAAACACGCCGTACTAAGATGGTGAACATCAGGATGTTTATACTTTGGATTTGCAGCTCATTAATATTTTGATATTTGCGCTCTTTCCTACTTTGTCCTGCAACTGCTTCACAAACAAATTCCCGGGGGATAAATAAAGTTCTCTCTTATTTTATGTCAGCGTCTTACAGTTAGCATTTATCTCTGTGCATACAGCCTCATTGTAGCTTTAACGTCCTGATGTGTAGTCAGACTTTTGAGGACTCACTTCCCCAAAAATGGTGTAGCCTACGGAGTAATATGGAGGCCACGTACGAAGCTGCTGTAGTGCGGCCTAACCCCTCATTGCAGAAGAAAATAATCCAGCTTTAGATGAGATCACTCTCGTATTTGTCTGTTAAATATGAAGCTACAGTCAGAAAGTTAGCTTAGCGTATATACTGGAATACAGGGGGCAACAGGTAGCCTGGCTCTGTCCAAAGGTACAGAATGTGCCTACCAGCACCTCTAAAAGTCTCTAATGAACGCACAACTCGTTTGTTTTATCAGTACAAAAACCTACTGTATGTGCGGGTCTGTTTTTTTGGTTGGGAGCCGTGTCTTCCTGGAGTCTTCGCTGGTCGCCTGCCAACTTTTCCTGACCAGCAGATGTGTCTTATTTTTCCTTAACTCGAGTGAATTAGTACAAATCAATGAAATTACTTTTCTGTTCTCCCTGCCTTCTCAGCAGGAGCAGCCTCCTCTCAACGAGATCTCGTCCCAGCCGGTCAGCGCTCCCACCCGACCTCCCATCTCTAAATGTGGCGACCTGGTCCTCTCTCTGGAGTACCGCCCCGACGCGGAGAAGCTACTCGTCTCCGTGATCGCGGCCCGGGACATCCCCGACAAGGCTCGCAGCGGGATGGACTCCTGGCAGGTGCACATGGTCCTGCTGCCCTCCAAGAAGCAACGCCACAAGACGTCGGTACAGAAAGGTTCACTGCCGCACTTCAACGAGACATTTCGCTTCTCGCGCCTGGACCCGTCAGAACTGCACATGGCGGCTGTCCGGTTCCGGCTGTACGCGCTCGGAGGCAGGATGTCCCGTGAGCGAATGATGGGCGAGAAGCTTCTGCGTTTAGGTGGTCTTGACCCGGACGGAGGGACGATGGAGACGACGCTGGTTCTGGAGCCTCGCAGTAACCTCAAGGTGACAAGTGTACATAAACTTTTAGACGTAGTTATAATTCTGTTAGCAGTCGAGGCCGCATTTGTGTAGACGTCTGCTGCGGTTTCTGCTGCTGCTCACTGTGTTTCATGTCTCTGCTCTGTGTCAGAGCGTGGACTCCCAGCTGAGCCTGTCCGCTGTGTCTCAGAGCGACAGCGCCTCGTCCACGCAGTCTCTGACCCACGGTGGCGTCCCCGAGCTGCTGGTGGGTCTCACCTACAGCGCCACCACGGGACGCATGTCTGTGGAGCTCATCAAGGGCAGCCACTTCAGAAACTTGGCCATCAACAGACCCCCAGGTCTGCAGTGAGCCTCATACCCACAAACACTGCACTCACACACAAACATAGATCTTTTACATGATATAGTTTGATGTTGAGTTAGTTAATGTTTCTGTAAAGTCCTGCCAGCGTTTGCTCCTCTCTCTCTCCCTCACCGCGCAGCCCCGCCCCTCCCTCTGCGTCTGCACGCAGCCGTCTGCTCACAAACTCTCAATAGCGTGGAGGGAGACACAGAGCTGGTCGACACTGTTAAAGACCTGGCTTGTAAAAAAGAAAAGCACGGTTCATTCAGTGTTTCCCACAAATACACTTTACTTCGGCGGGCCGCCCGGGTTAGACGACGTTAGATGTAGCATTTATCAGAGAAACACGGTGATTACGTTACAAGTCGCGACGCTGTGGATATTTTATAATAAGAGCGGACCGTGAACATACCAGTCAGATGTTATTCGTTAGCTTCCACGTTGGTTTTATGCAGCCTAGCCTACTACTGATGGAGAAAGTCACCAAAGTGGACGTGCAGGGAGAGAGAGAGACGCTAAAGCCCGTTTTCCACTGCACGCTACCAGCTCGCCTCGCCTTCTTTTGGCTTTCTATTGTGTAAAAGTTGTACCTGCTACCAGATTTACTACTTTTATTTTCTTATCTGTCTTTACATTCTGAGCAATGTTGAAACGTTTTAACTTGAACCACACACCACCAGCCACTCTGGTCTTGTGTACTTATTGATTGACTTGTGCATTGGTCAGTTTATCACTGCAAGTTACCAACTGATGCTGCGTTGTGTTGCTGCAAAGATGAGTCAGTTTCCTTCCTGCTATGTAAAACGGTGGTCAGGTAAGGTTCATGAGGATGTTGCTTCACTAATGCTGTAAGAAATGTGGGCTGGGATTAGACCACACACACGTCTCCTTAGAATCAGTGACGGGTTGAAACGTGTTTATATCAGATAGCCAACATGACAGAAAAAGAAGGTTAATGTTTGTATATTTTTTTAACTTCTTCCTCTCTCTCCACCCCCCTCCAGACACCTACGGGCGACTGACTCTGTTGAACTCGGTCGGTCAGGAGATGTCTCGGTGTAAGACGTCGGTGCGTCGCGGCCAGCCCAACCCCGTGTACAAGGAGACCTTTGTCTTCCAGGTGGCGCTGTTCCAGCTGTCGGACGTCACGCTGCTGGTCTCCATCTACAACCGCCGCAGCATGAAGCGCAAAGAGATGGTGGGCTGGATCGCCCTGGGCCAGAACAGCAGCGGCGAAGAGGAGCAGCTCCACTGGCAGGACATGAAAGAGGGTCGGGGACAGCAGGTCTGCCGCTGGCACGTCCTGCTGGAGGCGTAAACGCCACCAAGATGTAGGATTTTTACGTCTAAGGTGAAAGGGAGTTTCATTTGAGGGATGGAAAGACGACCTCGACGTGATCTGCGGACCGGAGAATGCATGTGGTTTCAGAGGACACATCTGTCCACAGCAACCTCACACCTGGCTGGTTATTTTCTGTCAACATGTGGAACAAACTCATCTGCTTTTGGAGGCCGACACAAGTTTAAAATATAATCTTTCTGTTGAAAAATGAGGAAGAAAAGCCTTCAGCAAATGACAAAAAGACATTGAATTTGGATTCAGTCATGCTGTTCAAGTGGCAATAAAGAAAGTATTTCTTTGTCATGAAAAAGCTTTCTAGAGCGTCCGTCGGCCTCCAAGAGGAGCTGAGAATGTCCTTCACTTTTCATTGTGAGACGAGGGAGCTGCAGTTCTGTTTTTCTGGTAAATCGCTGTGTTAGAACGTACACACAGTTTTAGAGGTGTGTTTGTGTGACTTGTTGTTTCTAAATGTTCTTTTACTTGCTCGCACGTCAGTGGAGATGCAAACAAAACGGCACTGCAGCACGTTCACTAATGCAGACAGGAAACACAAACATGCAGCGTCCTGAAAATCTAATATTGATCATTATTGTCACATCCTCTCAGAGGTCTCTGTTACAGTTTCTGTCAGCTCCTCGTCCTCCTTCATCAACGCATCAGTTTAAAAGTTTTTAGCAACAGAAGACAGGGTACAAAATTAACAACATCGTGCAGAACATTTGGTTGTAACTGCAGTTTAAACTGTTTACTTTATTTCTGCCTGTGAGCTCTGTGGTGAACCTGAGAGACACATGATGGATTATAAAGATTATTCAGGGCTCAGTCCACACATTTGTTGTTTACAGCACTGTGGCGTACGCAGTCTCTTCCAAGGAGTGTTACAATAATTTCTCACCTGGCAGAGCACAGTCCTTACCACAGCAGCTCAGGTTTGATTGCTGCATGTCACTCCTTCCCTCCCTTTCCTGTCTCTGTCTGCAGCTCTCACTGTCCAATAATGAAAACAAAACAGAAATAAATAAAAAGCACACATTTGTATTGTACAAACATATAAAATACACACACACAGTAACTGCTAAGGACATATAACCTTTCATAGAGTATAATTTGTTTTAGTGCCTGTATGTTAATAGTATGGATGCATCCAAAGTTATGTTAAAAACATTTAAACAATAATTTAAAGCTTTGATTTTTTTAAATGTTAAATAAGGAAAATCCCTCTTCCGCTCCCCCTTAAAGGTGGAGTAAGCAATTCTGGAGAAATCCCAATACCATGACGAATACCATGATACAGAGCGAACAACGACACAGCAAGTAATGTAACTAACGTCAGCGAGGTTGTGGGTTAGCAAACTGCTGCTACAGTGAAGCTAACATGCAGAGAGGACGAGAGAGGACAGCAGTACTCACAACTCTCCTGCTACTGTAGCTAACATCACAACAACAGCATGCCTTGGTGAACTAGAAAGTGAGCTGACTTTTTAATTTATAAATGGCACAAACTGGAAATTTCCATTAATTAGTTGAAATACAGCTGCTTTCTACTTAAATCAGCGGCATAAAAATAAAGCTGATACAGTGACCATGAATACAGTTTTGGTTTTGCTGCTCAAAGCACAAAACATATATATATATTACAAATATAAATATATATACATTTATATTACAGAAATATGTTTTCCAGAAGTAAATGCAGTGGTATTTTGCGTAATCCTCCGACCTTAAAGGTTATTTTTATAAAAATAACATTTTGTCATATTTGATAAAACTGTGAGACTGTAAAAATAAAAATCTGATTCTCCTGGCTCCTCCCACCGCTCTCTGAACAAAACAACCAATCAGAGCCAGGAGCAGTCTCTAACGAGTGCCAATCCCCCGCAAAGTCGACTGAATCCGCCTGTGCCGTGTTGCCACAGCGCCACGTCCCAGAAGCGTCCTAAACGCTCCGTCAAGCAAAAGCAGGAAGTCAGACACAGAATGGCATAAAGAATCTTTCAAAATAAAACACCCTGAGCCGACTCCTGATAATAAAACAACAATAACACAGTTAAAACAGACAAAACAAAAAGAAACCATTTAACTATGTAGCCTACTTAAATATGGTAGAAGCACAAAAAGCAAGGACTGAAAACTACAACAACAAAATGAAAACATGTTGGCTAAATCAGGCATCCTGATTTTCTTATTCTGATATGATCCCTGTGGAGATGCAGCTGTGCAAACAACAGAACAAAACGGGGTCACAGAGAGCTGTGAAGAAGGTAGAGGGTAATTAAGTCAATAACGGGGGCAGGCTGCACGCTCCGCTGCTGAAACGCTTCCAGTGGACGTTGACGCCAGGCAGTGGACGGAACGAAACCGTGGCGCTGTCGTAACACGACGCGACCGGAGTCAGTGTCCCTGCTCGTGCACATGCTATGCTAATATCTTTACCAAAGCAGCAATGAAAGATCTGCCCATCCTTCCTTTGCCAACAACAGCGTAGAGCACAAAACACATGAACGCTTCCCGGCTCCACGTGGAGCTCATTTTGTTCGATGTCATGGCGCTCGTATTGACAAGCGGCGCAGAGGCATGATGACAAACAGTGGGGAATAACTTTTGAGGGTGGCCTCTATGCTGCTGTTAGACGTGGTCGCGGCCTCTGAAGCCTGGTAGCTCTGCCCCGGGCTGCAAAGCGTCCTTAAAAAGACGAGTCGTGGCGAGAGGGCCCGGGTTCCTGGCGAGGCTCTTTCCGTGGAGAGCTAGCTAAGCAACAGAGAGAAGGTTTTGCGTTGTATGTTCACATGTTACAGTCTGCAGCTTTAACTTAACTCTTTTTTAACAGCAATAGAAAATGTTGTCCATAATGACATAATTAACAGTTATATTCTCTTTTTCTGCTGAAATATTAAGTGAGAAAATAACCTTCCAGTCGGTTGCTGAGTATGTAAATATCGTGGTGAAAGCTTCAGGCTCGTGAGAGACGAGAGAGAAGCTGAATAGGGGGGTGATACGTGGGGTAACTAAGGACTGCGTGACCGTAAAAATACTGCGTAAAGAGCCAAACGTGAGGGTAGAAGTAAAGACGATTCAAGTGGAGGTGGAAGGTGTCTCATTCACATTCAGCTCTCATTCATATTCTCCTGACACACGTGCTACTACAGGCAGGAAGACCAGCAGCTGGAGACTCTCACCCCCGTCAGGATGAATGATGTTATTTGGCCTCCTTCACAGGGCGAAGCTCATTTCGGCACCCATCAACGCTGAGCTGAAAAGAGGCTTTAAATATCTGACTGCAGCTGTTATTAACAGGCAGTGAATTACCCTGGAAGTGTGGTTTTTTTCCCCTCACTCCACTCTCTCTATGTGATAATTGGTAGAATCGCACGGTGTGATGACGGCAGTGCTGCTGCTAAAGCTCATCCTCTTCCAGGCTGAGCGTCGTTAAGGCACCTGTTCAGCCCGGAGGAGGGATTATATGTGTTTGTGTAGACAGATACTGTAGCGTCAAACCTCTCGGAGGGGGGGGTTCCACACACACACCGAGAGCGAGATGGGTTTATCTGAGAGTTTGTTTTCTTCGGGGCAGGTGACAACAAAAGCCCCTTTAGAAATGTTTAGCTCGGTTTAGAAAACGAGAGGAAAATGACTTTATGTGGGTAAAGAGATGACTGTCGGTAATTACTTTTGGCAAATGAACTGAGAGCTGATGCTCAAATTGTTCATGTGACTCAAAGGGTCAGTTCACACAAATCACCCCTCCCACACATCCCTGAAGGCATTGAGCCATCCGGATTTTTTCCAGACTTCCGCCTCCGCCCCAAATATAGCGGACACGAATACAGATTTGTCTGACAATAAATCATCTAAACGTTAATCCTACGACCATAAAAGTTTCTTCTTCTGTCAAAAGATTTGATATCAGCACTCCTTTTCTGCAGGCTTCACCCATGTGAGTGTGAACAGTGACATGAACTGTATTTACTGCACAGACCGATATATTTTATGCATGTCGAGTTGTTGTACAGAATCTATAATATCTAATCTATATTTTCTAAAATAGTAAATGTTTAATGTTCTCCTAGGATTGTATTTAACACATCTGCATGCTCAGTTTGAGATCCCAGGTTGTATTTAGAGACAATCAAATTGTGCTGCAGATGTGATTGCCGTTGTTGATACTCTGATGAAGTGCCTGTAACATTTTGAGATGAAACATATCCAACGTGACAGAGAATATCCAAATTTGCATGAAGCCTTCTCCTTGTTCCCTGTGAACGCTGCTGTAGGACTGCATGCATGGAAGGTGACTACAGGGCAGGCCCTCCTTATGTCAAGGCCTGGACCAGGGCTCCCAAGTCAGACCAGATTCAGTAACGTCTACACCAGGACCAAGCACAAACTCTCCTTATAAACTTGTGAAAAGTGAAGGTTTTTTTTACTTTAAGGGAAGACGTGCCAAATCTAGGGGGCTAAATAATTATATTAAGTTAATAAATATGTTATTTTGGGGACATCTATACTTTCTAAGAATTTCCCTCAAGAAAGTGTTTTTTAAATCTCCCACGTAGCCCTGCAGGGACTCTGTGGGTGTGAATTTTAGGTCAGCCTAACTTTGATTTGGTAAAGGAAGTTTTAACTGGTGTCAAAAGACACAACGTGAAAACAGATTTTGCTTATTGGCTTTATTTACTAGTTTTAGATAAGAAGATTGATATGGCTGCAACACGTCCTCGTAGCTGAATGACGATGCAGGTCAATTATCAATTCTCCCAAAACATTATGACCGTTCTCCGAAACGACATGTACGAGCGTTGGTCTGGTCTTCACCAGAAAATCGACAATATACAGTAGGTCGGTTGTGCAGCACGTTACCAGACCCATATATCAGTGACCTCCGGTGGCTGTTTTAAAATGACAGCAAAGGAAGAAGTGGGTGATCTCAGACTTTCACTCGGGAGAACTGTTTGAGTCCCGTGTGAAACCAAGTAAATGTTGAGTTATTTTGAGTTTGAACTTAAATAGCGTTGCTTTCTTTAGTCCGTAACTTCCGTTATTTACTTATTTTAACCCAAACCACAACGTTTTCCTAAACCCAACCACACTGCAACCGTGTCACAACGTTAACCACGCGTTTAATGTCATATCATGCAACGAAGTTGACGCTCATATGTCATTTTGGAAGGCATAGATAAAACAACCTATGCTGTCGACTTGTTGGGAAAACGGTGATAAACGGTTGTAGTTTGGTTAGGTTTAGGTCTCATCCATCCTTATCCTTCATACTACGCCAACTGACTTCTTCTGCCACTAGAGGTCGCAGCCTAACAAAATGTAAATATATATCGTAAAAAGCTGCTGCATAACAGCCTAGCTTAGCATAGCTTAGCATAGCTTAGCATAGCTTAGCATAGCTTAGCAGAATGACTGGAAACAAGGGGAAACAGGGCACCTAGCTAACATGCTGTATCTCATTTAACACGTACAAAAATGTAACAATGACAGCTTTTAGTTTTACTATTTAACAATTTCCATGCGAACAACAGTTTAACCATCCTCCCAGTACTTGTTTACGACAAGATGTCATTTTAACTTCATATGTTTTTGTACCGACTCGTCACATATTAATGCTTGGTCAAGGCCCTTTTGCGTCGTTAACGCCCTGGGTACCTCTTTAGCATCAATTTTAGGCGTTTAGGGCTCCGCGGTCAAGTTAGCAACGCTAGCAACAACAAATATGCAACTTTCAGTTAGACTTTCAAAATAAAACGCTTGCATTTTGAAACATCGCAAGTTTGAAATGTCCTTAAATGTTGCAATTTGGTTAGGTTTAGTCAACAAAAAGTACTTGGTTAAGGTTAGGAAAAGATCCGGTTTGGGTTAAAATAACTACGTAGGTCAGTTAACACGTAAGTTAACTTACGTCACTTGTGTAAGTTGCGCAATTCACGTAACTCGCGCACCTAACTAAAAATACTTAATGTTGACTTTTTCTTTCACACAGGACACAAACCCCGGTCTCCTGGTTCAAAGTCGGGGTTCTGACCCTCCAACCACCTCCTTACTCAGTCTTTCTGTTGAATATGATATACCTGCCTTCAGGGTTTCCCCCACTGCGTTGAACTATGACACTACAGAGATCCCCAGTGCGTTACAAACTGATGCCGATGCGTTCATATGTGACAAGCTGGGGATATAACGTGTTGACTAGTGAGGTTGGTGGTTTTTTTAACGTTGGACAGAGCCAGGCTAACTGCTTATGCTAAGCTAAGCTAATCGCCTCCTGGTTCTAGTTCCGTACTTACTGCAAAAACATGGGAGAAATACTGATTTCTTATTTAACTCTCTGCAAATAAGCATTTCCCAAAATGGGGAACAAGTCCTTTAAATGTTATCCCGTAAGCCTGTCTCAAACAGAGCTTTTTGTCAAAATAAATATTATTTGGGGTTTTTTAATTTTCCTTTTAGCAACAGAAATATTTTATTTTTAAATAATCTTTGCTTTTTTTTTCAGTTGTCACTAACGTAAGATTGAAAATTGACTGTTCTTCTACTTGTAAATAAAAAAACAGCAAAGCATTTTATCGTAATAACACAAAAAACCCTTTAGGTTTTTTCTTTAGATCTT